TAACTAGGCTTAGCAGGGTTTTATGAATATGGGCCCAGAAAGTCATTTGTGTGGGTGTAAGCGTCTAGTAAATGAAGTTATGTATTTTTAAAGAACTTTGAAAATGGAAAATCATGAAAATCACCCGGAAACCCGTCCCATGTATGCAATTTCCACCCAGCAGGAAGTAGTCAACATGCTCCAACTTCCCAGTTTTCTTGGACAATCCTTTAACTTAGTCACTAAATTTGTATGTACATGTATTCTTACAAATGGGTCATTAGGGAGACATTTTGTGGTAAATTTTTCGACCTTGGGGAGACATCGGTCATTAGGGAGACATCTCAGTGTCTCCCGAATGCCCCAGCTACCAGAAGGAGGCCGAAATTTACTGTTCAGATTTTGAGAGCTGATAGATTAGGGTCTAAATTGAAAACATGCAAAGTTTCAACAGATTAGGGAATATTTAATTATGGGACAGTAAAGTTTGTGCACGTTCTTATGGGAATGTCTCCCAAGTGACCCATTTTACCTTTAACAAGTGGGTTATTGGTGTGATGTTTAACTGCCTTGTCATATTCAAGGAGCTACAGCCCTGAATGTCAGGTTAAGTTTATGGATAGGCATACATACATTTAGTATGCTGCGTATTGCATATATGCTGCTGAAAGTATAGTTTCTGGCCAGGAAGCAACCATGTATGATGTGTATTACAAACCAACCATGTATGATGTGTATTACAAACCAATTTCAAGTGCAACTGAGACTTTTAACTGGTTTAGGATGAATATATGTATCGTTTGCATACAAATATCACGTTCATGTACATAAAGTTTAGTTTGTCTTAAAGTGTTTATCGCGTAAACCAATTATCGCGTTTATTTGTATAGGTGTATGAAGGTGAAACATTCAACAAAGAGTGATTTTGTTGTCCAGAAAGGGCTGTATTTTATTGACTATATTTGTTACATATGATTTACATTATTATGTATATTTACATAGTAAGGTAACATTTATATAATATTGGAATTTGATGTCCGAAGTTGACCCTGCACATGCAAGGTCAAATATTTTTGATAAATGCGTCTTCTGTGGTTTCCTCCTTCAACCTCTGTACCCTCGAGTACCCTTGTACAAAATATACACTGTTTGCAGCTGAGAATATGTTGGGGTGGAGTTTATCTCCAGTTGGCAGAGCCTAGTATCATGCTTTTGCTAGCCACAGAATTCCGTACTGACGATCAACATTCTATGCTTACAGCACTTGCAGAAATATTCTACGCTTAGTCAGTGCAGAACCCTTGGGGGTTTTCCCAAGTGCCTAAATCATATTTTCTTTGCTAACATGCGAAATGCATGTAAGCTCACCATCAACACAGAATTCTCTGCTATGATGGCAGAGATATTTCGCTTACTGTAAGCACAGCCATGCAGTTGGGCCCAGAATGTGAGAATGATATCTAGGCCGACAATAGACTAAAGATACCTTGTAGTGATGAGAGAAGTCACATTTGACCAGTTCCTCTGCCTTGTGGCTGACATAGCAGGCCGACTTTGATCGTCATGCACCATTATACATGTTTACAGTGGGCTTGGGGGGTCAAGTCATTTTGTAAAAGTGGCATAATACATGTACTTGTACTTCCACCATTACTTGGAGTTTCCTGATTGCATCATGTCGTGATGTTCGGATCGTTTTTTATGACTGTCAAAATCTACTCTTCCCCTTTATCAGCTCCCCCTTCTCATTTTGCTTACCTTGAACTTTCTTAAAATGCAGTACTCCAGGAAAAAATGCACCGTAGTTTACACGCCTTGTCTAGTCTAGCGGCAAGCAGTCCACAAGTAGGTTTTCAGGTGCATAATTTAGTGCAAATGAAAAGAGCAAATGAATTTCTTAATGACCTTAGAACAGAAAAAGTTCCCATCAAACGATAGTGTTCAGAAATGCATTTCTTGCTCAACCGCTGCATAATTTGTACAGTAAAAATTAACAGAGTCAACTGTAGCTCATGAAAGTGGGACTCCTAAAATATGTTGTTGGTAAATATCGTAATGTAAGGGCAGAGGACTTGTAAGGATGTTTGTTGTGTAAATAGAAATACTTTCTTTATTAAAGGTGTATTTTTAGTGATTTAATTATCAATTTTGAAACAATATAATTTGCAGTCTTTCTTATCCAGCGATCATGGATTTGTAAACTTTAACTGAAAACATCCATTGAGGTGATATTTTCTCTCGATGAGGATATTACAATGTATTGAAACCCCCAGTGTATAAATAATGTACATGTAAGTACATGTATTTAAATACTTTGACGTCAAAGGAAAGAGTTTCAGCAGAGTGCGTGATGTAGAAATGTCTTGTAAAAAAAGAATACCATGTCAAAAACAAAAATTAAAGTGAGCAGTGCATCGACTGCTATGTCCTTCCCTTTCACAGCATGGCTTTGCATAGAATATATTTATGATCATTCTTATAAAGTGGTCTTTCAGTGCTATGCAACGTCACACTTTCTGACCCCCCATTTTTCTACTCTAGACAGTTTTCGATCCAACGCTGACAGCAGTCTGCACAATAATGCCTACACCCTAAGACTATGCTACCTACCAAGAAGTGCATTACAATATTTTCCTGGCTGGAATGTACATGTATGCTAGTTACATTAAGGATCTATCTCAAAAATATACAAATATTTACAGAAATATTACCAGACAATTATACATGTATTCACTTACATTTATGTACAGATGTACATTATGTCAGGAAAAGTGAACATACTTGTCGTATGTGATATGGCTCACAAGATTTTTAAGATTGCAAACAAAGATTCTCATTTTATAAAAAAAGTGAAGTTTGGCAGAATGTGTACTTGAATCAGTGAACGCATGCAGAACCTCTTTGTGAATTCAGCAATGCGAAGACTTGAGAATTTTAATTACCCCCAAATACTCACTTCCTTCCAATTCTAACCCAAGGGTATACAGTCATCTCTGTTGACCACAGTTAGAAGCCATAAACGGTGGCACCACACTTATGTGCTAGAGGTATACATGCATTGAATACCTCTTCCGCTCTAGGTCAGATGTGATCAGCGACCAGTGGTCCATTTTTCCCGGTAACCAAGGCACAAAAGATATCCTTGGTTCCAGGCAAAATCGACAAGTGGTTGACTATTAATGGTCGGTGATCGAGTTTGGCGCTGCGTGCGTGCACAGTGTTGAAACATGTCAATAATGCATGCCTACCTGAAGTTCAGCGCTAACCTCACATACCTAGTGTGGACTTGTGAACAAAAGATGGCCACACGATACTGGAAAGGAAGATGTTCTGTGGACTTACACATGTCCACAGGATGTTTCCCCTTCTCTGAAAAAGACGTTTAGAGGCATTTTGGGGTTGGGGTCATCTGTCGTAAAAGGAAGAGGAATAGTCAAGGAAACCTTGTACCAAAAAAAGCTGGAAACCGTGTTCCCAGTTCAAGAAAATGAGTTTTTCGCTGAGTTTTCTTAACTGTAAGAAAAGAAAGGAATGTCCACACTAGATATTTAAGGTAAATGAACTGGCGTTTGTGGTGCCAATGCACTAATGTTATATTTTGGGTTTCATTTGTAGAAGCAAGAAGGAAATAAAAAAATTGGGGTCAATACAGGACTAGGGCACACATGGCCATCCTGTTTCCATCAGTACATACATTTAGTCCACTGATGACTGAGTCTGAGACCTTCCTCTTTGGCATACAGTGGAATACCTTTAAGGTGGTAGGGACTTAACAAATCGTCTTGTAATAACAGTGACCTTGCGTTAGCAGTAATAGAAAATAAAATATTAAGACTTGGGATATAAAAATTTCCTTATTATGGGCCGGAGTTGCTGACTCGAGTTATGTGACTTGGACTCGAGTCGGACTTGAGTCACTATTTTTGTGACTTGACTTGCGAATACCAGCTTTGACTTGTGACTTGACTTGGACGTGCAGAAAATGACTTGTAACTTGACTTGGACTTGCAAAAACGACTTGTTACCGACCC